ATAGAGATCAGAAAATATCTACATTTTTGTGGATGTTTTCAAGTTAATTTAGAAAGAAATCTATATTCACCCCATAAAAGCCAGTTCACATGATCTAATCAAGACAGTTAGTAAAACTCAACCTGATGAGTGTTTATTGTATTCAACCAAATTACATTAATAGCGGAGCTTTACCTTAGTCGCATTAGAACTACATCGGAATCTCTGTATAGGAAATTTTCTCTGTATAGTAACCCTTTATCAAACAATAATATTATGATAGAGTGACTATGATAAATCGAAAAAAACAACAACAATAGATCTGACAATAGTAATTGTTTTTTTAGCTTTAAAAAATCTTCAGCTAGAATGTGGAATTTTGAAGTTTTCAAAGTAAAAAATACAACAATAAAATATATTTGCCCCATAACCCTCTAAGAAAGCCTGTTCTCATCATCTGGATAGGAAGCTTTCACTTTCATGCTAGATAAGTCTTCACTCTCTTACATCCAGTCATATCATCAGAGTTACATCCAGAGTGTCATCAACAGTTCAGCCACTTTTGATTTAATCCCAGGATGATAATTTTACCCATAGCATCGAGGAATTAAAGACACAATATATTTCTTTGTTTGTTTTAAAGCTCTTTTTAACACATCCACTAAACCCATTGGATTTTCAAGTTAAATCCCATACAACTCCCGTGAAAGCATACTCTCATGGTCCAGCTAGGATGCTTTGTGTAAATCAATTATATTATATATGTGTTCACTCTCTTATATACAATCATATCAAAAGTGGGGGTTTATCAACCATAGTCATTATAAATTTCATGGGATACTATTTTTTCCTATATACTACCACCGTAACCCTTCATCGGGGGAAGTCACAATATACTACTTTGTTTTTACACATCCACTAAACCCAAGCAAGGAATCTTAAGGTTTTCTGAGTGTATAGTTACAAAAATTCATATTTACCCCATAGGATGATGCTTTGTCAATGATGCTTTTCGAAACTCATTATATTGGATATGTATTTACTTTTGTATACCCAGTTTCATCCTAAGTACAGTAGACTCCCTCTTATTTGGACCCTCGGGACCGAGACCAGTCCGGATAATGGTTTTTCCGGTTAAACCGATGTCCCCAAAATCTCGTTAAAACGGACTGTTTAAATGCATACTCTATTAAAATTAGGAGAGCATTGTAATTAGACACATAATCATTGGTCTCAAATCATTCCCATAAGAACAATCGTTTCTGTACCGCCCACTTCCTACCGATCTAGTCCGGTTAAACCGATGTGCTGATAAAAATTATCCAGATTAAGAGATGTCACTTCTACCAAGTGTAGTCCAGTTAAACCGATGTCCGGTTAAAAGGTGTCCGGATAAGAGGGAGTATACTGTAGAGCAATATTGTGGTGTTGTTGCATTAAAATAACATGTGAACCCCTTTTAGCAAATTTCCCTATAGGAAAGTGTAACTATTAATGTAGGTGGCACGGTAAGACCTGGAGCTGGGACCGATATACTTTTCCATTTTGTTGTCCTCCGGGGGCCAAAAACATTATTAGTTCAAATATATATAAATCAATTAAGTAATTTTTGTCCGACTTGGATTAAATTTGATTTGAAGGTGTAAGGCGAAATAAACTTCAATGATTTTGCGAACCAGCATAATCGGACTATCGGAACAGGGTTTTACAACCGTGACGGTTTTATGGGGTAAAAATAGGTTTTTATAATTTTTGACTCTCAAAACACAAATTTTCCTAATTTCTCTCTAGACCATTTTAAAGAGATTAAAAAACAAATAATTTAGTATACCAAAGTGTTTTTGTAACTTACGGTTATTGGTTATGGAGAAAATTCCCAAAATTGCAAGTTTAAAATTTCTATAGTATTCTTATAGAGAATATTGTAAAAAGTTTTGCTTGTTTATGAAAATCATTCGGTCAATCTTGGAAAATTTATTAATTTTACACGTAGCTACTAAACTGTTACTAAAAACAGTAAAAACACACTTGATTAGCCTCACTGTAGCAGCAAACCTAGGTACTCGTTAAACCTAATCTATAAGTATAAAAGAGGATGTTTGTATATTTGGCAGTGATAAACTCAGACACCGCTGAACCGATTGCCACGAAACTTGGTACATACGTGTAGAATTTCATGGAATAGGTTTATACACCATCAATTTCGTGATCCGTCCAATCGGCTCCGCCCCAGTGGCTCTGGAGTTTCCCATGTTAACCTTATGAGAAATGGAATTAATGAATCTTAACAGCTGTTTCAATTAAACAAGATGGTTCTGTTCTATGATGTTCAATAGCATTAAAGTTACAAGTATTACCAACAGAGTGCAGCACTATTATTTCTTTTACATTTATGACAACAGCTAATTTGCAACCAAAAGGTGAGTGAGCATAGCGAACGAACTTCAACCTAGAGGCGAGTTAGCGTAGTGAACGAGCTAACCTGAAGGCAAGTGAGCGTAGCAAACGAGCTAACCTGAAGGCAAGTGAGCGCAGCGAACGAGCTCCAACCTAAAGGTGAGTGAGCATAGCGAACGAGCTCCAACCAAAAGGTGAGTGAGCGTAGCGAACGAACTTCAACCAGGACGTGATTGAGCCATGCGAACGAGATCATCTTGAAAATTAAGAAGTTAAACGGGGGAAAGCCCGCGGGTTACAGCTAGTGTTATTTAAATAGATTCATTTAAAATAAATTCAGGCAAATGGAAATTCGCTTAGTACCTACAGTATGCAGGTTTGCTGTGGCGAGGGTATTTTACCATTTTTTCTACAACCATTCATTAGACAATAGACATGAAAAACTAATTTGTTTGAATATCATCCATAAAACCCCATGAAATTTTGATGATTTTACAGTCAAGTGAAAAATCCCATATTCACCCCATACCTCTTTGAAACATGACCAGAAACACACATTACAAGGTCATGTGAACATGGTGGCAGGTTAACATGAAGACTGTAAAACTATTTAGAATACACGTTATATATAAATATTTTTTTTTTTGGGAGAGGAGGGAAAATGCTCTTACGCACACAGGTAGCCAGCCTGTAGTGTGAGACTCCTGAATCTATCACAGACTACTCACTAAAAAACCCCCTCTACTCTGTTGGACACAGACCTGGAATTGTTTGTCACATTACTTCAAGTCAGGCCAACATGTGACCTAAGCCCTCACAGGCCCTCAGGGCCCTCAGGGCTCTCACCGTTTTTTTCATTTAGATACTTCATGACCTACACCGCATCCCGGTCAAGGTCGAGCTTCTTGACCGGAGAATACCCTAGATGTAATGTGACACACAGGTCCAATTGTCCTCACCCTCCGTGATCATCGGTATGACCGTGTCCACTGACAGCAGTCCTACTACTTGTTGAGCCCTTATGAAAAAGTTTATATATGGCCATATAAATTTTTTTTTATCTTAGATTAGATATGATCATATATGGAATCCCCCATATATGGAAATTTTTAAATAAAAAAAAATAAATAAAAAAATTTCAATTTAACATATTTTAACATGAAATAGTATAAACTATGCATTAAAACCATAATTAAAAATTTTTAATTCGAAAATTTCAAACAAAATTTTAATTAGCCGACTGGGATTTGAACCCGGGACTCCAGCGTGGGAGTCTGCCCCTTTAACCACTACACCACAACCGCTTCATAACATATATCTTAACAACACCCATTACGAGTAACAGAAGCTGTATTTGGTCTCGTAAAATAAGATTTTCTTAGACATTTTATGTCATTTGAAGAATGTTATTATTAATATAGCCTAAATACGGGACATAGATATTTGCGGCTGTTTGATAGGCAAATATAATATTCTCTTTATTTAGGCCTACTACACTTGCAATTTTAAAATTATACGTCAGTTTTAAAGTTTGTTGCGTTATAATAAAATTGTACAATAGATGTATGTACAGGATTTTGTCATCTGGGTTAAAATCTGGATACTTTATTACTTTACTACTAATTACTTTAAATGAGAAATGCCTATTTTATCTGCCCCCCTACTGTACCACATTTCAACTCAATCAGTTCAGTAGTTTGTGCTTGCGAGAGCAACAAGAAAATACACAATCTCACAAACTTTAAGATGTATAATATTATATATAACCCAGATAGCAAAAAATACTTGATTAAAGCTTGAAACAAGTTTGATTTGTCAAATCTGCAAACTTGAAACAAGTTTGCTCGGATGGGCCCGTAAACTTGATTCAAGTTAATATCATGCGACGAAGTTCCCGCTCTTCCAGTTTGAATAAAACTTGAAACATCTAATTTGAATAAAACTTGAAATTTCTAATTTAAATAAAAATTGAAACATCTAATTTGAATAACACTTGAACTATCAAATCTAAATATAAATTAAAAAAATACTTGATTCAAGCTTGAAATAAGTTTGGTTTGTCAAAACTGCAAACTTGAAGGATCGGGTTTGTAAACTTGATTCAAGTTAAAATCATGCGTCGAAGTTCCCGCTCTTCCAGTTTGAATAAAACTTAAAAGATCCAATTTTAATAAAACTTGAAATATCTAATTTGAATAAAAATTGAAACATCTTATTTGAATATTAATTGAAGAATACAAGAAATAATTCTTTTTTAGCCACTTACAAGCTCTTTTTTTATTTCTGAAAATTTAATTCATATGCTTTTACCAGGATTCACAGTCTTACATGTAATAAAAATTTCACATTTTTTAGGTTGAGATGCATAGCACAATATAATCTTCCAATATTTCAGATAATTTTTCACAATCACAACATAATCTAATAACTTCAATGCCTCTAGTTGTTACATGCTAAGACACTTCTCTAAATAAAAAAGCGAGATACCATCTAAAAACTTGTTTTCATAAAAGAGCAGGAAAACATGAGTTATTATAGTTTTCAACCCTACAATTTTACATATTATTACTATTCAGTACGTAGAATTCAGAATTCTTTGAAATTAAAAATAAAACACAAGAGATAATTTGTCTAAATAGATTTATATTGAAGATTTACATAACACATTCACATTTGAAAATGCCTCGATCGTATCTTTAACTTTCAACAAACAGTTCCCTCAAAAATTCCTCTTTTTACGATTACTTAAATAATACAGAGTAAGTTATCTATTCAACAAGATCTTCATCCCCATTGAGTGGAACTTCTTCCCCACTGTCCACAGTGGCAGGTTTTTTTCCCTCTGAAAAAAGTCAAAACAAATAGAATCAATATTAAATTTAAGGATAATCAACCAAAATGATTAATTTTGTATCTGGTATAAAAAAAATAGGCAAGTAAGCAACATTTTAAACTAACACAGTTTAACTCACAACCAGTGTAGGCCTGTTTAGTGAAAATTAATTTATTCCTACAATGATATACAAATACAATATATGATCTTCCCAATAATATTAGTATTAATTATTAATATGTATAAAACACAATTACATTTTTATTGTCAAAAAATGCTAAACACAAGCCCAGGATTGTTTTCACATTACTTCAGGCAAAACCTAAGCGTTGCGGCATTATCACTTCGATAAAATAATTAGGTAAATCTGCGGGATTTTATTTTACGGTTTAAGTATAAAACTAGTTGAGCAAAGCTCACTTTCCCTCACTTTGAAACTTCTTTGTAAGAGCATCAGAATGTAATGGCTTGAACAATTGATATGAAATTTGGCCAACAGCTAAAGAATACTGAGCACAATGTTTAGGTAAAAAATATTTGCAAATTTCCTTCTGGATTTTATTTTATGCGTCACGCAATTTCGCTTGTTATTTTAATATAAGTTGAAAGAAAAATTATATTGGGTCTATGACATATGGGTTTATCTCGTTTCATTTAATTAAGATAAACATATGTTAATTGTTTGTAACTGTTTTGTTTACATTTCAATGTTTACTTTCATCCTAGGTTAAAGTTGGAATGTAACAGTTTATCAATGGAAGTAACAGTTTTGCTATATTTGTTTTGAGCATGCCTCAAAGGCCACGTCGTAATATTGGTCGACGCACCAATAACGCAAATATTGTAAGAGAGTGGCGTCGTGAACAAGAAGAACCAGATGAAGCAGTGGTAGAAGAAGCTGATAATGATAGGCAGTTAGCTAATCAATTCCAACATGAATTAGATGCACTAAAATTTTACATTTGCACTAACTGTCATCACCAACAACTAACAGCTTCAAGCAATTTTTTGGTGTTCAAACCAATCACCAAAAGTTCGCGTTGTCGTTCAAATGCAACTAAATTCACGGCGTTAAATAATATGGACGAGAGGTCGTCCAGTGGTCGAAACTCGACCAAAAATATGTAATGTACTCACTTATCTATTTTCACCCCACACTGTAAATAAAACATGTGATTGGAGTTTCCTCCATTTGTTTTGATTTTCTGTTTATATTTCGTTGTTATTTCGTAACCAGCATAGCAACGCATAAGATCCATGTTAATTTTTTCAAATTTTTAAACTCATTTTTTGTGCTTATCTGTGAGCCTATTTAAATTTATAAAGGGATTCTGCACACCTACAGGAAAATAGCTTTCCAACGGTATGCGTAGATTTTCCCTACGATTCACACGAGCTGAGAAAAAAGGTTTTAAAGAAACATGCTTGCCTATTAATATATAGACGAGAGCACGCCCCGTGGTCGAAAAATCGACCAAAAGTATGTATTGTACAAATTTCTCTATTTTCATCCCACACTGTAAATAAAACATGTGATTGGAATGTCTTCCATTTGTTTTGATTTTCTGTTTATATTGTGTTGTTATTTTGTCATCACCATAGCAACCCATAAGACCCATGTTAATTTTTTAAAATTTCAAATTCATTTTTTGTGCTTATTTTTGAGCCTATTTTAATTTATAAAGGGATTCTGCACACCTACAGGAAAATAGCTTTCTGACGGTATGCGTAGATTTTCCCTACGATACACACGAGCTGAGAAAAAAGGTTTTAAAGAAACATGCTTGCCTATTAATATATAGATAGATGTGTCAAGTGTCCCGAACGAATGAACTGACCTGACGATTGTAGAACAAATGTTGATTGCACGAGTACATCCCGCTATGCGCATTTACAAAGTACAAGCAAATGGTCAGGCTTTTATCAATTCTTATTCTTAACTAAATAAATGAACTATCAGATAAATTTGTCATTCTTTAGAACCTAAATAATATCGGGCAAACAAACGGTGAATCTGTTGAAAGGGAACATATTGTAGGTTGTTAGCTGCTTTAGCCATTAATCTTCAAATAATGCTTCGCTCATTTATGCGTCTAAAGTGTAACGGCAGACCACCCTAGTGAAAGTTCTTCGTTGGTTATCCTAAATATAGCCAAGATATTTGTTACAAATCTTGCTCATACTTTACAAATATATATAAGCTTTAATTTACTGTATAAATTAATCCAGGTAAGCCCAGCATTGCTATGAAACATGAAAACCCCTCTACAAGAATAAAAATACTAGCATTTTTCTTTTGGCGAATTTTCCTATAGGAAAAAATCTATTACCGTAGGTGGCATGGTAAGACCTAGGCCCGGAACCAATTAACTTTTTCATTTTGATGTCCCCAGAGCCCAATAACACCATTCGTTCACATTTTTATATATGTATATATAGATTATATGTCCGTGAACACGATAACTTGTGTAGGCTAAGTTAATTTTTGTCCGATTTTGATGAAATTTGGTTTGAAGGTGTAAGGCGGGATAAACTTGAATAAGTTTGCGAAACAGCATGATCGGACCATGGGAACGGGGTTTTATGGGGTAAAAATGGGTTTTTCTAATTTTTGACCCTTTAATCACAAATTTCCCTCTCCAAACCTTTTTAAAGAGCTTAAAAAAACAAATGATTTAGTATATCAAAGTGTTTTTGTACAATTATTGGTTACGGAGAAAAAAAATATATATTTTAAAATTCCCATGTTATTCTTATGGAGAATATTGTAAAATGTCGTAGTTTGCTTGTTTTTGACCAAACTTGGTAAATTTATTTATTTGATACTAAGTAATTAATATTTTACTAAAAAACACACTTTTTTACCCTCCTTGTAGCAGCAAGCCTATGTACTCATTAAAGCTAATGTTAATTAAATACATTTAATTGAAAATCAATTCAGGCAAATGGAAATTCACTTAGTCGGCAGGTTTGCTGCGGCGGGGGTATTTTTTAGCTTATACAGTACTTGAGTAATCATAATGATAAACAATAAAAAACATTTTTATGAAAAACCATTATGCAGTAGACTCCTTTTTACCCGAACACCTAGTAACCAGACTGCACTCAGCAGATATAATTCTTAAACCAGACAATTTTTATCAGTACGGTTTAACCACCCTGGATCGGCAGGAAGTGAGCGGTGCTGAAACAACTTGTCTTGTAGGATAGATTTGAGACTCTTCATCACATGTCTTACGATTAAAATATTTAAAAGGTATAAAGTCTTGGCATCTTGTGTTTTGTTTACAGTAATTATCCCAAAGTGTCTATAGTTTGGCTATTTTTACAGAATTAACATTATTGGCTTAAATATATTTTGCATTAGACTTTAATCATGTAACAAGTATGCAGTTGTAAGTATGTTGTTGGGCACGTCAGTTTCAAGTGTCTCCTTCCCTGTATAATTGAGTCCACTGTACAGTATTATTAGGCTACCAATGGAATTCTATTAATGGTGAGTTGAATAGTTAGTTAGTGACAATTTTTTATCCTTACCTTCTTTCACATCTGGTTTTGGCTTGTTGAAGCCACTTAGCAAAAACGCTTGTAACTTTGGCTTCCGTGACTTCACTTATGCCCAACATTTTCTGTGCAGCAGCTAAAAAAAAAAAAAAAAATACTTAAAATGAACTTAATACAGAATAGTAGCCTACATTTAACCCCTAAGACCTAAAGTTTGTCTTCCCATTTCAAACATGGGGTTAAGTTTAATTTCTGAAGTTCAAGATTTTACTTTCATATTAGGTATCCTTAATATTTTAATAAATCAATTGTTTAACAAGTTCACTACTGATCGGTACTTGCGCCGGTAGGGCGATCAAAATAGACCGATCCTAATATTCAACGTCACTGATGGACTAAAGGTAGTAAATTATTCAGTAGCGATTATCAGTAGCGATTATCAGCAAGTTTGGTTAGTAAGGTTAGGTTATGACAGTTTAATTTTTATATTACACAAATTATACATTTTTTTATTTTTTTACTCTCATTTTGTCCGTATTAAAATTCCGCAGGTGAAATAAAAATTGTGCCACCCCTACAGTGCCTATCTTAACCGCTTCTGGTTAAAAAAAAATCCAGCTGTAGGCCGATGTGTATAACTTTATTTAGAAGATCTTTATTACATAACCTGTGAAACTTAAGCCTAGACCTAAGTTATTTAAGTTATAAAATATTTATATTATTTATGTTAAAACACCCAGGTACAGTTCTGCAACAAACCTACAAAAGGCCTATTTTATATCATCAGATGCAACTTTTATTCGATAATTAAACTTAGGTAACCTTAAAATATTAACTTAAGTTAAGTTAGGATTATGTTATTTTCCCATAAAATACTTAAGTAAAGTTATAACTTTAAATCTTTGACTCAGATTAAAATGTTTCATTCAATGTAAATTATTAAGTTTAACTTAGGTCAGAGTTTCTCAAGGTGTTGTCCGCAAGCATTTTTTTGTGGGGAATGTGGGGTCCACGAAAAACATTTTAATCAAATTTATTTTTATATGTATTGTATACTAGCAGAGTACCCGTCCTTCGTACGGGGTTGGCGTATAAGTATAAAATGCTTATTGCAGTTATACTCGTGCTTTGTGTTTGCAATGGGGGAGGACACAGTTTGAGTAAATTTGGTTCTTTTAACTTTACGGTAATTTACACATCTACTATAGCCATAATAATGTGCTACCACTTTACCTAAACAATAGAGACGAATAAGTTACCAAATATTCGCACAATCACAAATTATTTATAAATAAAAAACTTAAGCATAACTGTAAACAGTCCTATTTTTTGTCAGTTCCCATTGTGTATCATAGCTTTTTGTTGCTGCTTGGGTCAAATAAGCTGTTGTCATATATGAAAAAAATTTTAGTTCTGCACCCTATTAGTAAACACTATAACTTTTTAGTACTATTGAATATCATAGAACCAACTCGTGTAGTTGAAACCGCTGGTAAAATTATTTTATTCATTTTAAATTTGAATACTGATAAGGTTAACATGGAAATCTCCAAAGCCACTGGGGCGGAGCCTGAATGGGTCTTTGAGATAAGAATATGTCTATATGTTAATTGGGAACGAAAGCTATCATCATACCGAATTTCAGCTCGATCCGACCAGTAGTTACTTAATGCGTGATTGAACTTCAAACAAACAAGCAAACACACAAACTTTCACATTTATAATATTAGTAAGATTATATTATACTAGCGGAAAGTAAATAAAAGAAACGTCTTATAACACTTAAAACATATATTTACGCTTATACTGTTACTCACAATACGGTAAATATACAAAACAGATGGTAAGTGGTGATCGATTTCAATTGGACACTCCAATCGAAATCGATCACCACTTACCATCTGTTTTGTATATTTACCGTCTTGTGAGGAACAGTATAAGCGTAAATATATGTTTTAAGTGTTATAAGACGTTTCTTTTATTTACTTTCCGTAAATTTAATAACACGTAAAATGCTGATCAAGAAGTTATTTAATTATACTAGCCTATTTTGCTATAGGCTAAAGGATTAAGATTAAGAAATATGCAAAAAAACTTAAACCTAAATAAATAACCTAGCCTACTTATTTATTTAGGTTTAGGTTCCTTTGCATTTTTCTTAATTTTGATTTTAATAAGTAGCTTAAACTAGCCTACAGTTTTCTATTTATATCCTAAATAATGATATCTAGTGATACGCATCCGTTCCAAACCCTATCACTCACTCCTATCCTATCACCACGTATTTTCTATCGATCGTCTATTGATACTTCCCCTAGGGTCAAGTAGAGCCTCGTCTTCTAACTCCTCCCTGAGGAGATAGTTTAAAAAGTTACAACACGCACTCATGACCTCACCATTGTGAGTGCTGATGAAAAATCGTACGACGACCGTAAATCAATCGCTCTAAGCAAAACGGTCGCCGTAACAGCGATAGTAACTGAGCGATAATCGCTGTGCGACTATCGCTACAGTCCCTCCAAGCAAAATAGGCCTTAAGTTAAGTGGACTAAATCAAAGTAAGTTAACCTAACTTAATGCCAATTTTTAGTTTAATGGAGAAGAAATTTTGTAGCCTACCTATATCAGAAACTAATCGCCTGAAAGCTTACCAGACTCTTACTGCGATTAAACGTAGGTTACTGCTATTTATCTGACAGTGTCACTAACAAAGTAGCTGCTTAAATACTTATCGAGTAGGCTACTGAAGTAACTTAGCTTTAAGTCCCTAGCCCTAAGTTATAAGTTACCTACACATTAAAATATCATGGTATAAAATATGGCATTAAGTTAAGTCTAAAGCCGGGTTTTCCTAGACGCGGAAGAGGAGCGCGGAGAGCGGAAAATCGATTAACATGGCATTCCGCTCTGCTTCCTAGGAAAACAGTACCGGTAACATTAAACTATTTAAGACAAGAGGAGTTCACTCTCCACGGTACTTTCTCCCCGCCTAGAAAAACCGAGCTTTATAGAATAGACTACAACGTAACTTAGGCCCATTATGGCTAATCTAGGCTATAACCTACCATAGTCTATACTATGAACAGCGAAGACAATGCCTAGGCCTAAGTTAGACCATACCAGTACCACAATACCTAAGTATCTTACATGGAGAGCTTGATATCCAAGCTGGTAAAAAAAATATGTTTTTATGCATACAAACAACTCAAAGTTAGGCCGATAAGTTGACAACATTTATTTTTTAGGCTAGGCTACTCATTGCACGTAGGCTTACCAACTCAAAAGTGGCTGGCTTTAGGCTATAACTTACTTGGCTCTTTCAAAATTTTCACTGATTTTGAGTTTACTTAATTTCTTCCTAGGCTATTCTTGTAATTAACTTAAGACGATTTGATTTTGTTAGTCACAATCCTTGAGTTTACTTAGTTTGTGCTAATAAGAACTTACCTTGATGGATAAGAAGAAATAGGCCTAGATGAAACTTAATAACAAATCAGCTTAAACAATATAATATAATAACTTGAACAACTCAGCACCAGAATATCGATATTCTCAACTCAATGAGAGAGATTGAGAATGAATCACTCACAAATACACAATAAACAAAACAAAGCAATATGGCCGATGGCGTCTTCAAGTGTCGGTCCCACCGTTAGCGTCGTTCCCGCTCGGAATTATGGGTAACTTACACTCGACTCCAATTCGAATCCAACGTGATACTTAAAAGCTGTAATTTCAAACCAACGTAAGCCTAATGGAAGTGCATTGTGGGTAATACTTCACTCGATTCGGATTTTAATCCAATGTGATATTTCAAAGCTGTTAATACAAGCAAGTGCAAGCGTAATGGTTAGTGTGTTGTGTATACTCGAATCCAGTTTGAATCTAATGTGACATTTCAAAGCTGTTAATTCAATCCACTGTAAGCGTAATTCAAGTGTGTTACACAAAGTTGACATTTGACTCGAGTTTGAATCTAAAGTGACAATTCAAAGCTGTAATTTCAAGTAAAAGCAATCGTAATTCAAGGCTTGAATCAAGCTTACGTGCTATCTGGGAAGGGTGTCCCGGAACTCTCTACCAATATTTTAGGGCATTGTTCCTGGGTAAGAAACATATCTAAATATCATATTTAAATTGTCCGGAAGTCCTTATTTACTCAGATAGCCGCCATTTTGTTTTTTTCACTTATTAATTTTTTTCTGAAGATTGGTTAAACATACGAAGTTGTAACTTTGCACAAACCTATATGACAACTAGACAAAGCTACAAAAAAATTATGACGATTTTTCAAATTCATATAACAAAATGGCGGCTGTTTAAAATTTTGTTTCTTAAATTACTCAAAAACCGTTGATGTTACAAACTTTACAAGACTAACTTTTTTAAGACAATTTTATTACAAATCGATCGACACCTTAATCTTTAAGATCGGACGAGTATTAACTGAGATATGGCAGTGATACGTGACCGCTTTCAGCATGCGCTGCAACTAATATCCGGCGGTCACGTATCACTAAAACTGCCATATCTCAGTAAGTAATTTTAAGACGATTTTATTCTTGTGATTTTTTTCATAAACCTAACCGTTTCAAAGATAATAATGGTTTAAGTTGTGAAATTTTTAATGGTTTTCAAACAAAACAGCTGGCATGCTTGCTTAGGCCTTTATCAAAACTCTTTCTCATGCAGAAATTTCAAAACTTTAACCATTATTATCTTTGAAACGGTTAGGTTCATGAAAAAAATCACAAGAATAAAATTGTCTTAAAATTACTTTTTCTACCAGGATACATCATCAAATACAGGGTGTTCCATAAGAAAAATCAAAGTTGGCGGCCATATTGGAAAAATGGCGGCTAAAATAATTTTTTTGATTTGACTATAATTTTTATAATAAAAAATCCAAGGGACTTACCATTTAACTTTTTTTGATATCTCTTATAGTTTTCGAATAAAACGGCTGGCACACTTATATCAATCACCCTGTATGGACAATCATTTCATATATAGAAAACATGTATGGCCATATATGGCCAATAATTCCATATATAGACTACATATATGACCATATATGGACACCACCATATATGAATACAACCACATCTGGCCATATCTGCTTCCATATATGGCCATATTAAACCATATATGGCTTTATAAAAACATATATGGAATTTTGATATAGCCATATATGGCCAGAAATTACTTTTTTATAGGGGAGCCTCTAGGCGGGGCCTTTCCCAACGCTGGCATTGGAAAAAGGTATGTTCCACGTCATCGGGAATGCCTGAGCAGTATATGCAATTGGGTGACACGGCTTTGCCCATCTTGAACAGGTACGACCGGAAAAAGCCGGAGAATACACGTTATATAGCGGACATGTTAGCTACAGCACTAACGCTGCCTACTCGAGTGGCCCTAACTATGTGACGGTATTACAACTGCCACTTATTAACATAATTCCTATATAGGATTCCCACATTTTACAGTACTAAAGCTGAAGGTGTATTTAATGTATTTTAATCCATTGTATTTTTATGGATTCAGGTGTGTCTCAGTGTAGACTAATGGAATTGACGTAGTCCCTACTGCATTTTGGGCACGTCTACAGGAAACCTGATGTCTAAGTCTGGACTTGAGATGAAAACTCTCCTACAAAGCATTACATGTCCGCTCTACATAGTGTCTTATCATAACCGCTCTATTGTCGTGTACTGGTTTAGGAGCTACCATATATGCTTAGTTGTGTTTAAAAAAATGTTTAAACCATCGCATCTCCTGCCACGTGCGGGATAATGTCAGAAGGTTCATGATTACGAATTACATGATGCCGACATCCATCACCAGATGACTTAAGGCTATGGCCCTAACACAATCAGTGAGATAAAATTGCGCGCATGGGTAATGGAGTGAACATGACCGTGAAATCCTTTTATGGGGATAGCCCAACTCTGCGCGGTGGTCAAATTTATGCCAGAAAAAGTTTCATGGTCCCGAAGGGTCCAGTCCAACTCCGCACGGTGGTCTCTTTTAGTGTATAGTATAACTCCGCTCGGTGGCCACATCTAATCTCTATGCTACCTTGTGATTTCTGATGAGATATTACGTGTTTAATACAGGGTGACACAAAGGAACCGGACGTTTTTTAAACAGCTGTTCCATTGTTGTCGAACGTGGTAGGAAGATTGAAGTTATGTCATTGCCTTCAGTGAGGCTTGCCATTTTTGTTGAAATAGCTCAGTGGAACCTAGACCATTACGTTTTCGCATACGATAGTTTGGTCCGAAATGGTGAATCCGTCGTCAAATCCAGCGGGAATTTAGTCGAAATTTAAATATTGAACGCCATTGACCGGTTCCAAGCCGAACTACGCTATTAAGATGGGTTTCAGGGTTCCGAACAACTGGGAATACAACAAGAAATAAACCACCAGGCCTTGTTAGAACTTCGAGAACACCCGAAAATATCGCCTGAGTGAGAGCAGTATTGAATGAATGTTTCCTAACAAGGTGATTTCTCGCTTTGGTGACATACCGTGGCCACCAAGATCACCTGGCTTGTCCAATAGTGATTATATCCTTTGGGGGTTTCTTAAGGAGCGTGTTCATGCTCACAAACCACACACTCTAGAGGATATGAAGTTTGTAATCATAGAAGATATCAATGGCATTGAACAAGACCTCCTGACCCGAGTTTCAGATGATTTTCAGGCCAGAATGAACATTTGTAGATAAGTACATGGCCGCCATATGCATGACGTCATTTTCAAAAAATGACTGTATTGTAACAAATGGCAAATGTTAACCTCACTATGTACAGTATTAAAACCAGTTTATTCCTTTTAACTACTGTGTACTGCTTATTTAAAAAACGTCCGGTTCCTTTGTGTCACCCTGTATAAGGTATTCCATATACATACCGCGTGTCCCCAATGTTACACTTTTATTTGTTCTTAGCGACTGTACTCATGTGACAAGTTAGGTTTGGTTAGGTTCATTATAGGTAAATTCAAATGAAACATAAGTATTCTATTTTGTATTAATTAACTTTATTCTATTAGTTACTGTGGTTTCGTACATTTTAAAGTGTACATTTGTAACAATTTCGAACTTCAAATACAAGCCTGACGGCTGTGAGAGCCAAAATTGACCACCGTGCGGAGTTGGACAGTCAGTTTTGACATATTTCTGACCACCGCGCGGAGTTGGAAAAGCCCCCTTTTTCTTTAGTGGTCTTTGGTGAGAAGTTTGAGTACCCAACAAAAAAACCAAATAAACCTCAGTCATTTAGCAATGAATATCAGCTTTCTATACTTTAATACTTTTTGATGAAATGGCGACCATACAAAGTAGGTATTTTAAGCCAAGTATGAATGGAGATGAGTGTAGGATGAGTGGCGCGATCTTGTAGTCTTGTTAGTGACTAAGGCCGACATATTCCTTAGACACAGCTGTTAATTAATAGCCCATACAGCTAATGGCAACTAAGAGACCTACAGTTTATAGTGGAATCCGAACCACATTTTCGCCTTGGTATATACAAATTGGTCTAACTATCAGGATAGTACTGCGGATAGTCGTAGTACTCACTCGTGCGGACGTTACTCCACACCAGAGAGTATCGCCATAGACTAAGCAACACAAGGGAGTATGTTTTATCTATGGTATCGCATCCACAGTGCATGCCTGTAAATATCCACAATTCGTGACCTCCTAGTAGCTGGGAGATTAAAAAAAATATAATAAATCCCAGCACCTGATCCCGTGCTGGGAGATAAAAACTCGCAACGGGAGATTTAATGGATTCCAATTCTTAAAAACACAAAGCGAAGCGTACGCCTACATGTCAGTTACAGAGCTGGAAGTTCAGAAGTTGTATTTCATTTTGTTTACAAAGAAGGTTAATATATGGTCAGGAGACTTGTGTGGCGTACGAAGGAACAATGAATTTTAGTTTGATTTAAACGCATAAAGAGGCATTACTAAAAAAACCCTTTAGGTACCGGTAACTTCAAAATTTATGGTTCTTGCCTAATGACCACATGCATGGTTCTTGCTTTAAGTTTAAACTTTTGACCATCTTTGATAACATTAAACATAAATTAGAGTTTTGTTAGTGGTTTTTCTAATAATTTTAATAATTCAAGTAGGCCCTAACAATTTGTTTCTATGATAAAAGGTTAGGCTATTGTTTATAGCCTACTGGATACTTGCAAAGGCAAATGTACATCTATATAGCCTATAATACGCCTACACAAAATTTGTCCACAGAACTCTACTGCCATTTCATATACAATTTTGACCATTGGTTCACGTATTTTTGGAAAGAGTATGTCGTGTAGGTGTGCAAACTGTTCCTAAATTTTTGCAAAGCCACTGTGGTCATAAGAAATGTTGCATCAAAAGTCGTGTCTCAACGCGGACTAATGGAATTGACATACTGCATTCCAGGCATAACTACAGGAAACCTAATGTCAGCGGCTGGACTCAAATGAAAAAAAAAAAAAAAACTCGCAAACTCTTTTGCAATACATGTCCGCTCGGTCTATTCTCAACATTTAAACATAACCTCCGGGGAGGCTATCTACTGTATTAGACCAAATTTCATTAATAGTGGAGGTTTACATTAAAAACACATTAGAGCTGGGAATATAGGCCTAAATTGGTCATGTTATCTCTAATCTTTCATCA